ACCTGAGCTCACACAGTTTCTATTTCTGTCCACTATTAAACAACAGAAGCTGCTTCCGTGAAACCACAGGCCGGAGAGAAGAGTAACTTCCTGCAGCGTGTTCAGTGTGGTGTTGATCTGCTGTCTGTGTGTGTTTTCAGGAGACGTGGAGCAGGTGGAGGGAGCAGAGAAGATCACCGTCAGGATCTTTAAGAGCATCACTCTGGTTCACGAGGCCGGCATGGTGCTGCTGGAGGTCAGACACACAAGGACGACACTGATAACGTTTCTGAAGGCAGCCCATCACTTTTTAATATACTAATTAATATACTATTATATTCTTTACACTTTTTAAAGTGTAAAGAATATCCCGCACACAGCTCAAACTCAGCATCACAATTTATTGATCATGCTAATGTTTCAGTCACTGAAGCAGGATATTCTTCTTTTTGAGACTGAAGTGAGGCTTTCTGACGCACCTGCACCTAAGACATATGGATGCGTGAATATCTTCATCGAGAAAAATTCATGTTTTATAGTCAAACCCACCTGTTGTGTCTCTGCCTCTGATCCAGTCTGTGTTCAGTTTGTAAAAATGTATAAACTCTGTACTCTCGACCGCGGCCTTATAAACCAGTTTATAAACATGAAATATATGGTGTATAACCTGATTATGTAGTAATAGGCAGCTACAGTGAGATTTTATTAATGTTCACTATCTGTTCTATGTATTTTATATTATTCCAGCTCATAATCTGTTTATACAGCAGATCTCACCCAGTTCTGATCATAGCTACATCATAGTCCACATTATAAATCAGTTATTACATGTTTACATGCTGATTATACAGGATATACTAAAGACCTTGAAGTGATACCATGATAATAATTATAATCTTTACAGGTAGGGGACATAACAAAATTCTCAACAGAAAAAACTAACTGCCCGAAAAAATAAAAATTGATGATAAGTGACTGAGACAAATAAAAGAAGTAAAAAGCTCAGACAGATTAATGCAGAAATAAAAGTTAGGAAAAAAATAATAATAGAAATAAAAATGAGTTTTTAGCAGGAATCAGAAACATCAGTTTTTTTCCACCAACGTGTGACTGACTTTATGTTCTCCTCTCAGTGGATCGCCAACCCGCTCAACGACATGTACGCCGACGCCATCACCACAGTGATCCTGGAGGTCCAATCCAACCCCACAGCCCAGAAATGTCAGTAAACACATCACAGCCACCTGCTGTGGGACATTCCATTTTTTTCATTACACTGGTGAACGGAAACTTTTTTTTCTGTTTTTGTTTGATTCAGTTATTGAAGGCAGGAAGGAAACCTTCGACATGGAGCTGTTCGTGGAGAGACTGGAGCTCATGCTGCAGTGAGTACTCAACACAGTTACCTGCCGCAAACACCTGGGGAACATTTTGTTTTACCACGTCTGGAGTGCCAGGCGGGTGGAGTCAACGCCACAGCAACCAGCAGTTTCAGCTGACATTAAAGTCAGTTCGGTGTTTTGTTACCTGTTTACCAAACATGGATATTGTCTGTTGTGTTGCAGCGACATGTTCGGGGACGACTGTGTGAATTTCAAAGACGGTAAAAACCTGAGTGTGACGGTGGACGGAGTCACTGCGTTCATCGACCCAGAGACCAGAGTGAGTCCAACGTCTGCATCTCACATAAACACAGCAAATTAAAACACTTACATAAAACACACACTGTCAGTCATGGTCATCATGATTTAGTAGTTTTATATTTTCTCTGAATTAATTCACTTGCTGAATTTGACCATGTGAAAACGTCTCCAGTGACACTAGAGCCCCCACGAGGCTTTAAAAGTCATTACACACAAGACAATGGAACTTGTAGAAAGATAGTTAACTATTAATATTTACTGAATTCACACTTTACAATGAGAAATTGAAATAATAAGTTGCAGATACAACATGTTAATCAGGGCAGAGCTTCAGAGGTGCTGCCAGGTGGATCAGGCTAGCTGTTTCCCCCTGTTTCCAGTCTTTATGCTAAACTAAGCTAACCACATCCTGATATGACAGTGAACGCGTGAACATGTCACTTTGAAGTAAAGAGACGATTGATTTGAGTTATGAACTTTTGGAATTTTGACCTGTTGGTGGTGCTAGATGACAGATCAATCAAATCACTTCACCTTCTGCAATAGAATTTGTTTAAATCCAGTGGACTGACTGATGTTACCTTCTTCAAATAGTCCTGAGATTTAAAGACAAATCCACACAGATCAGACGCAGCAAAAATTATTTTCAATCTTTGCTTGGATTTTTACAATCACTCTGCCTCTGAGCAAAAAAGGACGTATTGCAAATAGAAAACGCAGCCTGATCACTCCCACGAGCGAGGTGTCAATCACGTCTAAACCACCAGTGTCTCAGCCTTTTACCCCTGTGTTGACCTCTGACCTCTGTGCGTTCTCATCTGCAGTCTGTGACCTGCACAGAGGACGAGTCTCTGAGGGAGATGGTGGAGGTCGCCATCCATCGGCTCTACGACGCCCTCAGCCCCGCCTTCTCACCGCGCCCACTCTGTGATGTCACCAGCAGCAACACCTTGTCATCAGTGATGTAGATGATGATGATGATGATGATGATGATGATGAACTGATGTTTGCCTTCTTGGTAACACTTTAAGTCCCTGTATTGATCACCAATAATCAGTATGTAAAGATGATATCTGGTTTCTGTAGCTGTCATCAGATCAGTGTTTGTTATTTGTGAACAGCACATCAGTGGAGGCTGCTGTATGAACATAATGACAGCTGGAATAGTATAGAATAGAACAAATACTGAACATTAATAAGCACCTATTCAACATGTTTTTATATCTGCTAACAGACATTATACTCTGTAATAAACCATTTATTTCTTTATATACTGGTAACAAAGGCTTAACACAGGGACTTTTAATTGAAGTGTTATGAGCTACTTTAACAAAGACAAACTCTTTGTTGGAAACATGATTCCAAAGGAATCAGCTTCAGGCGACAGACCACCAATACTTGTTGTTATTGTTTTTGTACTTGATTTGTCTATAAAACAAATGTCATGTCACAATTTGTTTTCTTTATGAGGAAAATAAATATTTGTCCAGTGAGATTTTTAGTGGATGAGTGTGTTTTTGTCCCCAAAGATAAATCTGCTTTGACTTTTTAACTTTAAAAGAGGAGTTAACAGTGGATTATTCTGACACAGATTTAATGTGTCAGAATGTGTCCTGACGAGACCCAAAACTTTATTTATTTTTCTTTATTATTTTTGTTTAAAGAAATTACTGAAATGATTATTGAATTATCCAAAAAGTTGACTTTGGTTTGATTAAACTAGAGCCGCAACATTAGGTCAATTAATTGATTAGTTAATCAACAGGAAATGAATCTGCAACTAATTTGATTATTGAAAATCATTTTTGCTCTTCTTTTTTTGTCTTTTTTTTCTTTTAAAGAAAAACAAATATTTTCTGGCTCTGGATTCTCAAATTTTAAGAGTTGATGCTTTTCTTTGTCACGCATGAATATAAACTAAATCTTTTGGTTTTCAGCTAAACAAGACAGGAAGACGCTCGGTCTGTAGGAAATTATGCCGGGAGTTTTAGAAATAGCAAAAAAATAAATAAAACCAGATAAAATGAAACCAGAATATCTTAACACATGAAATCCTAACAGCTACTTAGCTTGTATGTCCATGACAACTGAACAGACTAGTGAGAACCATGTTATGTTGTTGAAAGCTCTGGAAGAAGCTAGTATGTGCAACTTGAGTTGGGAAAGTTTTCTCTCTTAGTTTCAACACTGACAGCAGTCGATGATAAAATATTTCTCAGGATATTCATAACAGTTATTTAACAATGAATTTATTTCTGATCAGAATGAAAAACAGTTTGCCGACATGAAAACAGACAGTAGAACGTTTTATTTCCAAACAGCAGACTGACTGAACATCACAGTCTGACAGCAGTAAACACAGTGACATTAGAGACATGACACTCAGACCTCTAAATGGATTAATACAAATGATCATCAGCATGTAACAACACAGACTAAAACAAACATTACAGTGTACAGGACTCCACTCATTTCTTGAATACACAATATTGAAAATACTGACTAGTGCATTTTAATACCACAGAAAAAGAGAAGGCACAGGGATTTCAACAACAGTATGGCTTTCAATTCAAAAAAATAAAATAAACCAACACAAGACTTGAGCACAATAACAACACAATAAAAAATAAAGAGACTTTATGAAAACTAAACTCTGGTACCAGACAGCTTCTCCCAGTGACACAAGTTGATTTGAAACAATGCAAACACTAAATACCTCCGTTTGGTTTAAAGCCCCTCTGTGTGACTTTGTTCTTTGACGTGGTTTCTATTTATCCCAAAAAAGGTGAAAGCAACAGATCAACTACACATCTATATTTTCTACAGACAAAAATGTATTAAATCCTTGTGATCAGAATAATTTGAAAATTAGGGAAGCCCAGGAACACCAAGAACAAAGAAGCAAAAGATGAAATGTTAAGAATTAAAAATAATTCTCACTGAGTATCTCGTAATATTGACCTAAAAAAGTAAAACATTTGATTAATTACCTAAAAGAGCGTTGTATGTTTTAAAGCCATTCAGGGTAAATCTGTGATTCATGGTTTTGGCTATAGAAACCAGGGCTGCAACTATCACTTATTTTTGTTATTGATTGATCTGCCAATTATTTTTTGATTAATCAATTGATCATTGGGTCTATAAAACATTACAAAACCATAAAAAATCACAATGTCCCTTTAATATAATATCCAATTTACTATGAGACTATAAGAAAACCAAGTAATTCTCACATTTGTGAATCTGGAACTATCACATTTTTATATAAATGACTAGTCAAATAGTAAAATAACTGCTGATTAATTTTCTGTCAAATCGATTAATCAGCTAATTGTTGCAGCTCTAATATAATTAAAATACATTTGACTGGTTGAAGTCCATAAATAAAATTCACACATAGTGGCTTTAACAACAGAAAAACAGACCATCAGGTTAGATATGAATATTTTTGCAGCACAGATATTTGCATATGTATTATGTACACAGAGTCTTGTGTAGCTCAGTAGGTTGAGCAAGGCACTAACACTGTCAGAATTAGGGGTTCGAGTCCCAGTGAGACGCTTGATGTCAACTCTTAAAACGAACAGTTTTTACTCAAACAAAACTGGATTTTTGAGGCTGGTGTTTAAAAGGTTTTGTTTGCATGTTCGTTTTGAGGGAGGGGCGGAGTTAACATTTATTCCTCTGCTGCTTTAAATTCTCCCAAAATATTTTAGTCTTCTTACATGAACAGAAGATGCAGGGAACGATTAGTAATCATGTCCTCCACCAAAGTCCCTACATATATTTGAGATTTTGATGTCGTTCAATATTCATTTTTCACATAAACTCTTAAAAATACAATCTTTGACATGTCTGCATTTATTGATATATCTGTATTTGACATATAAACATATAATGTTGGTGAGTATTTGGCTGCTTGCACATCATTAGCTTTCAGTTATTTTTACTGTCAATTAATCTGAATGTTAAGACAAGTAAAAGCAGCAAATAATCACATTTGAGAAGCTGAAGACACCAAATCTTTGGCACTTTTGTTGCTGTTGTGATGAAATATTAAATATTTCTAAAGCTTTTGATAACATGTCCTTTATTAGAATGTAAAATACCTGAAGGTTTAACATTTGGTAATTGTAAAATACAGATGAAGCTACCGGTTGATCTGGTGCCTTTATTCTTTTGGATGGTTTGTTTTTGCCTCTAAAATATGGAGGCCCAAAGTGTTCAAAATGAAATAAATTATTTTTATTTTTATTTCAAGTCTTTATCCGTAAGTGAAGTTAAACAGGGAACATTACTGACATTACAGAGCCAGTCATGTGATTTACTGCTGCTTTACTGTGACTGACTCGACACCAAAGTGACTACACAATAAAAACTGCTGGAGGGAAATTAAAATAATCCTTCAGCTCATAAAAAACATACTGTAATAAAAACTGAGTTTCAAGCATTTATTGAATAATTCACAATTCTGTAGTTCTATAATATTTTGTCTGAATGTTTATGTTTATTCAGTTTTGAACACTTTGAGTCTCTGAACCAGCAGCAGCCAGACGACATGAAGCTGTTTAATGGTGAATAAGTCTATGACTGTTCACCTGCAGCTGAGGTCTAACACTGTGTATACTGCTGTAAGTAGTAAAATATTAGCTCCACAACAGGCTGCTGTTTGTATAAATGCTGGTGATGTGGTTTGTGATTGACAAACATCAACTCTTAGAGATCGAGTTAAGTCACAAAAAAAAGCTACTGCTTCAACTAGACAGGAACTCTGTACACACAAATGATTGTCATATTTCAGTTGAACCTTTTCGCAAAAGATTTTCCGTGCTGCAGTTAGAGCTGGGTATCGTGAAACTTTTTCATACCGAGTTTTGGTACCTTCATTTCAAAAAATCTTACAAGAATAACTGTTTCATTTTGTCTCTGTGCTTGGAACTCTCTAAAATGAGCAGTTTTTTAGGAACAATTCCGTTCAGGAACAAAAGTGAGTGCAGGGTCTAAGGGAACTAAAATGAGCATGGGGAGTTCAGGAACAAAAATGAGTGTAGGGTTTTGAGGCACTAGTGAGTGCAGGGTGTTAAACGGAACTAAAATGACCATAACGCATTCAGGGACAAAGAGTTCTGTGGGTTGTTCAAGAACTACGTGGGAGCCAACAGGTGCTAGTTGTATCCCATGTAGTGTGTCATGGTGGAAGACAACCAATGCAACATCTGGGACGCATCATGACGTTCAGACAAAAAGACGAGCAGGTCTGAATTTGTACATTGATTGACAGTGACCAATAGGAAACTTGCACTAAACACACAGTTTTTTGCAGGTATTCAATCACATCAAAGTATTGGACATGAATGTCTGAACCATATTTCATCATTTCAGTCTGGACCAGTGTTGGACCGACCAACCATCAGACATCCACAGAGCACAGAGTCTAGTCTCTCACTTGCTCTCACTTTATTTCTGCAGCCTGAAGTAACTGACAGTGTGAGTATCAGGAAACAGCTGATTAGAGCATGTCATTGATATTCTAAAGCCACATTTAACTAGTACCGGAAAAAGTGATGATACCCAGCCCCAGGTGCAGCAGCTCCAAGGAGACATGTCTCCACGATACAATGGACACAAAAGTTTAATTTTACTTTTGATTTAAGAGACGTGAGGAGGACGGATACTGAAGTGAAGTCCCCAGCTGAGGAAGGACTGGCCAGCCATTTGAAACAGACGTCTGACCGCACAGGAGACATTTTGAAGGCAGATTTTTTTTTCTTTTTTACTACTAAAGATTTGTATTGATCCTGTCAGACCTGTGTGATCAGACCTAAGTTTTACTGCAAAAATAAAACAGTGCAGCAGTCTTCAGTACAGAGCCAGTTTAAAAAGCTATAAAACTGCAAAACCAGAGCACGAGGACCTGAAGAGGACAAGCCGCCTGAAGTCCACCTGCCTCTCAGCACTGCGTCTCCTTGGTGTCGATCTGATGTTGTCTCTTCAGTCTGAACAACAACGCCTTCTCGCTGCGACTCACCACGCTTTTCTCCGTCAGGTCCTCGAAGGAGCGCTGAGCCGACCCCACCGGCCGCCCGAACGCCTCCTCCAGAGCTTCCTGATCCAGGTGGGAGTCAAAGCTGGGGTCCTCCTGGATGGTGGCCATGCGTGGGCTGTCCAGAGGAGGGGGCATGTGACAGGAGCCAGCAGGGGCAGAATCAGGCCCGGGGATGAAGTTGGAAACCGGAGGGGTGCTGGTCTGCTGGGGGCCGGATGGTTGGAAACGGAGGGGGGCGGCGTTTGTGGTCGGGAAGCTTGGAGGTTTGAAGATCCGTACAGACGCAGACTCTAGGCTGCTCAAGAGCTCGGCATTCTGGGAAAATGAACCATCAGAGTCAGTTGCGCTTAATGGTTAAAGGAGCAGACCGTATGTTTTAACAAATAACTGACTGCGACTGAATGAATGTATTGATGTTTTACTTCTCTCATCTCTATCATCTTTAGCAGCTGGACCATCACACGGTCAGATCTTAGTAAGAAAATCCACCTCAACAATAAAGGTCCCTCCAATCCTCAAGTTGAAACTACACAAACTTCAAATGGCTTAATTCATAAATTAAATTCACCCAAAACATTCAGTTTACAAAAATGTAAAACAAACAGAAGAAGTATAAGGCGGATTGTAAGGTTCTCAGTACAAGGTTGAGTTAATAGTTAGTTGTGTTGTGTTTCGGCTCATGTTCCCCCTCCATCTTCATGAAGTCTCACTGTCTGGTTTCTTATTGTTCAGGCAGCTCCTTCATGTGGAGCCTTGTTGCATTTGACACAACCCACAGCAGAGGAGGCCGAGGTGTTGACAGATTTCTTGCTAATGCGTTTTGTTGTATACTGCACATATATACTGTATATATACACATATACAGATACTCACACTGGGGAAGAACAGTGACTTTGTGGTCTGCTCATATTGTTTATCCAGCTTCTTGTCCTGAGGGAAGAGAGAAGATATGATGAATAGTGGTGTTGATGATAAGGGTAGCAGAATCAGTAACTCCTTTGAAATCACTTCTTAAAACTCATTTTTATAGACTTGCTATTATGATGTCATCTTTTCATCGTTTTTTTAATCGTCTTTTTATCTCTTTATCGTTTTATCGACACCATATCGCCCTTTTATTGCTTTTACTGTGTTTGTGTGTATGTTTCTATACAACATCTGCTCCCTCTAATTGTCCTCATCTATATTGAATTATATTATTTGTCCTCCCTCTGTAACTCTACCTAATTCCTGTCTGTTTCTGCTTTTGACTGTCATTGCTTTTGATTTGTTTTTTTGTAAACTCAGTTTTTAAAGGTGCTATATAAATAAAGCTATTTTTATTTTTATTATATTCTACTTAAAATATTGAAGTAATGTGATGATCAACATCAGATCTGAGAGAACTACATCTCTCACAGACACTTTAAACAGCTCTGGCAGCTGCACCGTGCAGTTATGAAGGAAAATACCTGATGGGATGTGATCAGAATGGACTGTGACCTGTAACAATAACAAAGTGAGTGTACTGAGACCCACCACACAGTGAACCAGGATGCTGACAGGAACCCAGAAGAGCAGAGAGAAAGCCACCACTGAGCCAACGATGTTATCAGCCAGAAACTTCCCGAACGTGTTGATGTCCAGTTTATCGATGAAATCCCACAGCCGCTCCACCACGTCCTGCACCTGCTTCATGCACTTCCCCTGTAGAGACAGCAGAACATCCACACGCTCATTCATCCTGCTCGTCTTTAATGTTAAATTCTGGGTGTTTTTACTGATGGATCGTCTCACCGCTCCGTCACAGAAGCCCACGGTGCAGGGTTTGCCTTTACGCAGGAACAGGAAGTTGCCTGTTTTGTCCTGATAGGGCGCGCAGACACCGATGCTGCTGCGACAGCAGACTTTACACGACGAGTTGGTTTCTACCGAGAAGAAAAAAGCGGATGCAGACTCATTACTGCCAGAGGCTCATTGTCAGGAGAGGCAAACCAGGCAAATGCCTGGGGCCCCAAATGAACCCTCATATTGACACATTTTGCAACGACAACTATAAACCCCCTTAAACCTCCCATAATCGCACTATACAGTTGCCCCAAAAGCCCTGATGATGGGGGTGGTGGGGTGGTGGGGGTCGGAGCGGGGCACCTGATGATGTGTGCTGTAGCTAGCATCTCTGAATTGCCTGCATGTCGGGCACTTAGGGGACATCACATCTGTAAATCGTAGCATCTGTCCGTCTAGGATCACCACTGATTACTGCAGGTTAAAGATCCAACACGTGAAAACCAAGCTCTTCATGTGTGTGTCACATTGAAGATGACGTCACAATAGCTTTGTGCTTCGCCGCTATAGTAACAACGTTGCATTGAGGGGGTTCTATCTGCAGTGGAAAAAGAAGTACCTGGCACCAAAAGTACCTGGTGGTGGAAAAACACTTCAAGTCCAATATTCCTGCTCTTTTCACTCCGTTTTTAGTCTCTACCAACTCCTGAGGGAAATATCTGACTCTTTTATTTGCTTCATTTGTAAAAGAAAAGTACAGAAAAACATTGACAGTTGCAGAAGCAGTGTCCGATGGACTTTACATGTGTTTATAGCTGAAGCTAAATTCTAACACCAGTCCTTGGGTGGATGGGTATTGATGGGTTTAGCTGCCAAATGCTCCACTATGTTCACCAGCTGCTCTCTACCTGTGTGTGTCTGCTGTTTGCTGCTGAGCAGGTGGTGCACAGTGGCTTTTCACAGCTGTTTCTCAGATAACAGTTGCTGCTGTGGAGAGCTAAAGTAGACTAATAAGCTTAGTACAAAAATATTGACTTGCGCAGCCGTAATCACACAAGGACCAAGTCAAACTTTCAGTGTCGTACCATTGCAGGCGCAGGGCTGCAGCTTTAAGACGGCCTGGCAGAAAGGAATACACTCTCCGTCCAGACACTCTCCACTGTCCAGACACACCGTTTTATCTGGGGCATTTTCCGGAGGAGGACACTCGCTGCTGTTTCCTGTCAACACACACACACACAAAAAAAAAAAAAAAAAAAACAGCAGACATGAAGCACCAGGAGTGGAAGGCAGATTCTTGACCTTTGAACTTTGCGTGCCGACCTGTGCAGTAGGAGTGTCCTTTACAGGTGGCGTCGATGGGCTCCTGACAGACTTCGCCTTCAGACTCGAACCGGCAGTGTTTGCAGCACGCACTGTTCCTGTCACTGAACAGACAAAAGACTCAGTTGAGCTGAGACGGATTCATGTCAGGACAAGACGAAACCATTAGAGAAACTGTGACAACTCTAACGGTGCTTCAGTCATTAAGCTCCACGACCGATGAATCCCTCATTGAACCTTTCATTCACGTTGGTATGACACCACAGACGTCAACAACACAGCTACAAAATGCAATGCTTGAGGGAGAAACAAGTCCTTTATTTAAACCTTTATCTACCATCCAACATGAGTTATCTTTGATAACCTGAGGAGGTGTTACAGCTGATTCAGTGACCTGCAGCAACAACCAGTTCCAACCAACCAGCCTCCTCCTATAAATCACAATTAAAGTTACCAGTTTTGTTATTGATGTGATTATAAGAACCTCGATTCTAGTTTTATCGTTTGTTGTGAAAACAGTTGAGTTTTGTTGCATTTTTTTTTTATTCCACATCCGAACAAAAGATTTCACGGGGGATTCAAAAGGATTGGGGTTCGATAAAATGCCATCGAACTCCATCCCTAGTGTGGCCTCTGACCTGCACTGAGCTCCAGGTTTCAGCCTGCAGTCGGCCGTGCAGCAGTGGTCGGAGTTGATGTGCAGCAGTCCGGGATCGCACTCCTCCCCCTGCTCCACCCGAGAGTTTCCACACACGTTAATGTTTCTCTCCTTGAAGCAGGACGACGCCTTCGACCTCAGGCGCTTCACTATGGAGCGTTTACTGCAGTTAGAGAACATCTGGACAGATGGGAGAAAATCTGTTTATCATAACAAACACTCCACTAGAGCAGAAAGTCCGGTTTATATCCTGCAGTATACATCTCTATTCAGCTTTCTGTTTTCCTTTTGTTTCTGTTCTGCAGGTCAGTGAGGGTCACTACACAGAAGTCCTGAAAAATGACTTTTTTGATCAGTTTTAATCATGCTAACACCTCAGATGCTCACAGCCACTGAAGAGACCTCCGTTATTAAATAAAGTCATTTTCACCTCAGAATATAATGAAATTCTTGCTTTTATAAACGATTTTGAATTGAATTCATCGTAATACCACATTTCAGTTTAAAATAAGGACAAAGTGATTATTTGGCCTCGGAGTAAAGGTGGATTTTTTTGGATCTCAAATGTGTCCTCAAGGTGTCTTGGGTGCGCTCACACCTGAACTTAGAGCTGAGCGCCTGTGATCAGATCACCTGAGACAGATGTTAATACCAGGTCTGAACAGGGCCTTAGATTAGGAGCTTATGCACATTAAAATATCATCTCTCAGGACATGGAGGGCTCAGTGTCACAGGTAAAGGTGTAGACCAGGAGGCAGCACCTTGTTGTTGACGTGGTCTCCGCTCACAGCGATGGGGTACATGACGTACTTCCCTCCCTGGTCCTCTCGGGGGGCGCAGTCTGGGATGTTGTCGGGGTCGTGCTCTGCTCCAAAGTTATGACCGAGCTCGTGAGTCGTCACCAGATCTGCTTCCTGTGGAAACAACACCAAACTGTTGAGTCCCCGCTTAATTCATAACATTAGTCATCAGCTGACAAACTTCCAGACAAACAGACTCAGGGGAAGAGGAAGTTTTCAAACTGCGATGTGCTTCACAATGTGGGAGCAGGAGAGTTAACGGTGGTCGTGAGAGAGATGTGAGGTAAAAATACTAAGAAACACAACGTACAATTTCTGCTTCAAAAATCCCACTCCTTCTTGGAATCATAACTCAGGCAAATCTCAACAGCCAGGCACGAATGCCGACTTAAATGTCCCTGCATGAACAACTGATGCAGTTCAACAGCTGTCAGAAAACCAGCCCACCTTGGTCAGGATGGTCTTCCCATAGTTCTTAGTGCTGGTCAGACCTGTGTTGAGGTAAATCGCTCTTTGTTCGTTTGTAGATGAAGGACACGCTAAATGGAAACAAAACAACAGGGTGTGACTGGTTAACAGTGAAGATGCTTTAAATCTTTATCTTTTCCACTGATCAGATAAAATCAGGGAGTGTGAAGTGTAGTGAAGCAGCAGGACCCTACATTTGGAGCAAAGACCTCCGGGGATGTCGGGTTTGGATGGGGCAACGTAGGCCAGACCCAGAGTGCCTTCATCAAAGTCCTGATAGGTGAAGAGGTGAGCCAGACAAACGTTGGAGGCTTTGTCTGCGATGTCCACACTGAACTGCTGCAAGAGGACAAAACCACAGAGATCTCAGAGGAGGCGTTCAGGATTAAAACCGTCTAACTTTGGTTCTCGCTGCGCACTTTAACATCGCAAAGTAATGCTAAATGTTGTTCGCGTCGGGCGATTTGGTTTTACCTCCAGCAGTTTCTTCACGTCCCAGACGTCTCTGCCCTTCACTGGACTTCCTCTCATGTTGAAGTGACTTTTCCCTGGATCTACAGAAGTCGGAATCTTCTCTATGATAATCTATGAGAGGAGAAACAGCAGCGTCACATGTGACAACCAGGTTGGTGTTATTTTATTACATAACTGGAGTCGCTGTCGTCCACCTCTGATATGATGCAGGTTGACTGTTACAGCCTGTTAAAAAACACACTGATTGAATACAAACTGATTATAGGACGTGTGGGTAAGTTAAACTGATCACTTCACTTCACCTGCTGGATCTGAACACCGTAACCTATGAACTCGTCATCCCACGACGTGTTTCTGTAGATGTCGTCCACGCGATCGATCAGCTCGATCTGAAAACACAGTCAGGGTGGTTAACATCACCGGGTGGAGGTGGTGAGGGGTTCAAACAGGAATCATAGTGATCCTGATACTGTGATGGTTGAATTTGTTTGTCCAGGTGAGAGATCAAGGTGTTTTCAGGTCTGACCAGGTAGTTGAGGGTGGTGCTCTCCTCCTCGCGGCCCATGTGTTTGAAGAAGCGATGGTCGGCCACCAGCAGCAGGGGACAGGTGTTTTTCTTGTGGTCGTGGACCTGACGTTTCCCTCTGAACACAGACTCTGTCCAGGTACAGACAGAAAACACACTGAATATCAGTACTGTGGTCAGGACCCTTTCACACACGTATTTTAAATGTTTTATGAAACCCTTATTATCACAATTTGATATGAAAAGATTTTTCACTGTAGTGAAATGAAGTAAAGTGATGTTGATATAACACACTTCCTACAGCTTAAAAGTTATTTTTTCCAAATTAAAAGCTCTTTTTTTAATTTGAAATCAGTTTTTTCACATTATAAACACTTCTTAGGTCACATTAAAAGCTTCTTGTTCACATCAAAAGTTCTTTTTTCACTCTTAAAAGCTTGTTCTTTAACATAAATAGTTCTTCTTTTCACATTAAAACCCAAACTCTTCACAATAAAAGCTAGGTTGTTCACGTTAAATGCTCTTTTTTTTGTGAAGCAGCCACAGGAAATGGACTGTATTCGTCTTTATTTGCAATGAGGAATAGTAAAGGCAGCCACAATGAGCTGTTTATCTGCTGCTCACTTCAGTTTAGTTGAACCTAAAACCTTCCATGAACAAAACCATGATGTTAGATACAGAATGAGCTACATAACGGCTCAAAGTCTGGACATAAAGTTGTCTAATCACGTATCAAACAAATCCTTCTTCTCATGTTTTTCCATCTGTGTTAAAATCTACTAACCCTCGTCATCCTGGTCCTCCAGCACGGCCATTTGAACGCTGTCAGGAAAGAGGTGGCTGGGGTTGGACGTCACGTAGCCGCAGACAGAAGGCTGATGCAGTCTGCTCAGGTTCCTGATGTCGTCTGAGCGGTAGATCAGCAGACGACCATCGGGGGGCGCTGAGGTGAACCTCCACAGAGGCTGAACACAGAGGAGACAGGAAGCTTTTGTTTGATGTTTTAGTTAAACTTCACACACTGTATATGACGCTCAGTGTCCTTGTTTTACCTCGATGTTGTACTCTCCCTCGTCAGTCAGGATGTGAGCTGAGAACTCGTGCTCGTCGATATGAGCCTGAACTCGAGAGTGTTCCTCCCCTGGAAAAAACAGAGTTAAAGGATCTTTTTGTTTCTCTTTCTTGTCAGCAAATCGCACTTGCAGACTCAAACCAACACTTTCTGACTTCCCTCCTCTGTCTGTGGCTCTCAGCTTCAAGCCCAATGATCCCTACTGAAGACGTAAATCTCCTCACAGATTACATACATTTATTTTCAGTTTTAAAATATTAGCCAGCAATTTCCTAAAACATCTGTAGGTTTAGACAAAGTTAGTTAAGACACACAGACATAACCACAACGCCCCCAGCTCAGATCCAGCACAGTCACTGTTGTGCACATGAAAATGACAAACTGAATGCGGGGGGGGGTGGGTACAACATATAAATATGGACATTTCTTTAATAATATTTACAGTAGTTACTCTGTGTCCTGTTGCTGCTAAGACACCAGTGTCTGATGGTGATTTACTGTTATTCCATACTGATAGCAATACTGAGTATCCATCAATAACCCCTGCTGGATCCTGAAGCAGATTGATAAGGAAGAAGTCTCCTCACCTTCCTTCCTGTGTCCTGACCGATACACCATCCTGCTTACTGCTAAAAACCTAAAGGGAGCTAGCCCTATCCTCTCACCTCAGAAACAGATGTGTTCTTACTAGTTTTTGGAAACAACGGAGCTCTATAAGAAGTGCTTTATTATCAATGTACTCCGAGCTGGTCTGTCTCACCGATGACATGTCCGGTGAAGTAGTTGTGTCTGTTGACCGGGTAGCTCTGCTCCCGACCGCCCTCGTCCACGACCACGGCTCTGAAATCCTCGGTGAACAGCTCATCGTTGGTCCTCAGGTACAGTCTGAACTGCCTGCACAGATAAAATGTACAAGTAGCATTAGGGGCCGTTTAAATGTCATGAATCAAAACTTACATTAACCCGTGTGAAACATGGACCTCTGCAGGGCGTTGAAACTGAGCGTCTTCTCCACATGAGTTTGAGTTTGGACGTCTCGGCGGCGGACGGAGTGAGTCTGCAGGCTGGAGAGAGGCAGCACGTCGAAGTCATCCAGCATCGACCTGAGAGAGGCTGAGGAGGAAACACAGAGTCTGATGTCTTCATGTTTATGATCCTCAGATGTGTCTGATTAAATGATCATAAAGTCATAAATTCAACCTGCCACAAGACAGCACCAACAGTGCCTCTGTCTGTATTCATGGTTTTATTAAGGTGAAGCTGGAACCATCCGTAGTTAAAAAAATATTAATGTGGAGATTTGGGTGAACGGGTTAATATGTAACAGATAATACCAAACAAGTTGTAATGTATGACACAGTAGCTGCAGACCACTGGATTTACCAACAAAATCTCATATGTTATCAAATTAAAATGACGAGTCCTTAATGTGTACTTTCAACTAATATTGACCTTGTTTTTTGTTTTTGTTTTAAACAGTTTGAAATATTGTTTCTGAGTCTCAGAGTTTCTGTCATTTGTGTTGTTAGGGAACATGTACCTGTTCAGGTTGATCAATTGAGGTACAATTGATCATTTTTCATTCATTTATCTAGAGGCCAGGAAAAGAAAAAAACTGACAAAATAGTCAGAGCTAGCAAAAATAAAGATAAAGTTATGATAAATGATATTCAAAAGCTATAATTAAGAGATAGTGAATGAATTTTGATTTACTACATCATAATTTGGACATAGGATAAGATGTGAGATGATAAGTAGTAAGTGGAAACTAAGACATTAGCAAACACTCACTTTAAAAGTTATAATTTTGACTCACTTTTAAATAATTTTGAGACAGAGTGAAATATGAGATAGTAAGTAAATATACTATGTTATTACTCCTTTGATTCATCACAAAAATGGCAAAAATAAACTCTGAGACCAGAAAGTGGCCTCAGATTTTTTTTAGGACCCCATTTTACATGTGGGGAATAAGGAAAATAAATACATATTAATTAAATATTGACTTTGACATATTGATAATTAAATACTGTCTAATTTTACATGGTATTTTGACGTTGTTTGGGATAAGCGATGTGTTTTAGGATGATTTGCTATTAAGTTTTACATGGTATTTTGACATATTATGAGATATGACATAAGTAAGATATGAGATATTAAGCCAAAATTGTCACTTACTCTCCCAAAATGTTGACTTAGTATCTCAGGTTAGTTTAAAAGACACATAGGTTTCATTTATCTCATAAAATGTAGACTTATCTCTTCATTTTGAGTAACAATTTCATTTTTACATCTATTTTGACACAATTACTATTATCTTATCTCTTTTACATAGTATTTTTAATTTTATGTGATATGAGGTTGTATTAAGTAATTGTTAACTCAAAGTTGTGACGATGGTTATGAGATACTATCACAAAATTAGGACTAATTATCAAACGTTGACTTATTCTCTCAAATTTATAACTTAGAAAGGACAATTTAAGATTTACCATCTTTAAAACTTATTCCACTTATTAACGCAGCTATTCATTTGATTTTTGTCTTTTTCTCTCAGGAATGGTCTTCCATACTTTCTACCGATGTACATTAACCTTTTCATGACTGTTAGCAGCAGTCAGGCACGTTGTTTTAGCGAACTTTACTTATAATGCCTGTAAATTTAGAGGATCAGAACCACATTTAAAGATTTACCATACTCCTGCTGCTCTGTGTCTGCGGGTGGGTTGGTGGCTGCTTCGGTGTAAAAGGTAAAAACGGTTAGAAAAGTTAAAACCGTGAGCTCCTGTCTCATGTTTGACGGTTCTGACTGATGGATGTTTAATCCTCGCACAGGATGGGCTGAATGGAAACGGCCGCCGCTGCTTCTTTCAGATTAAAACTCTCCAAACATCAGATTTCAGACGTTGACGACAGTTTGGATACAAAATTTCACATTAAAAACACATTTCTTTATAAAACTGAGTAACCTCGTCCAGGTGAGGTCTTTACTGTGTTTAGAAACAGGTAGAAAAACTTCTCCAGTCCGTAAAAACCAGGAAGACGGAAAGCTCTCGAGTCAAGTCATCAAGAAGCTGGAGATGCGGTACGGAAGTGGGTTTAACTGCCGTCACAATAAAAGACATTTAGCGAGTAAAATAAAATAAACTAATAATTGAATATTTTTAAATTTATAAAGCTTTTCAAAAGTAACAACTTCATCTAATACAAATTATTTAATTAAAAAAATAAACACAGAGTAGGCTACAGACATGAATTATTTTAAGACAAAAAACATAAATAGATACATTAATCAAAATAAATAATAATGAAAAATTATTAATTACTTAAATGATTACTTACTTACTAAAAACACGAAATGCTGAGCACAAACGAGGACATAAATAAAATACATAAATTATAGAATAAAATAAGAATATTAAATAAAAGATGTAAAAACTAATTATAAACCAAACGTAATATTGAATATTTATTTTTATTTATATGTTTTACACTATTTATTTTTGAGAGACTAAAAATAGTCAGATATACATATGTTGGTCCAAGAATGCAATATTCTGTCCTCCAGAGTTACGTTTTTATTGTTTAAATTATTAGCGGCTTTATTTTGAAAATCCGTCCTTGCATTGTGTTCGTGTTGGTTCAAACTTTACAAACTGGTGAGTCAAACACGCTGGAATCTAAAAGGCTCCTGAAACAAGCAGTTTAAAAACTGATCGTGATTTTCTTCAGAGCGGGGGATGATGTAGGAGTTAGAGCTGCACAACAAACACAAAGTGAAGCAAATAGAAGTGAAACATGTCTGTCGTCCATCTTATGTAAGAGAATAACACAGAGACATCTGGCAGGTCTATTTATAACATCTGATCTCATCCAAATCCGCTTTTACTACAACATATACACAGATCAACCACAACATTAACAGCAGTAACTGTACATTCAGCGGGAAACCTTTATTACACAGGAAACTGTAAACTCCGCCTCAGGAAACAGAATTTAAACGAATTTATTATCAAATACCGAGAAATAATCTGAATATAGTATGACTTACTTTTCATTTTATATAAGAAGTTACTACGTAAAAGTGACTTTACTGTGTAAGATTCATAAAAGGAGTATTTCATGTTATTTTGTTTGAACTTACTATCAAACTGCAGAGGTGACATTTCCTGTCTGCACAGACACTTGCAAAGGACAGGAAATGTGTTCTGCAAATGCCTTTTATTTATTTATTTATTTATTTATTTATTTAGTCAGATGTGGGATTAAGTTTTTTTTCATGAATAAGGCTGAAGCAGGAATTTGAGAAAAATATAATTCATTTTTGAGATTGATAGATAGATAGATAGATAGATAGATAGATAGATAGATACTTTATTTATCCCAAGGGGAAATTCATGTCTCCATCAGCTCATTGTTAATAATAATAATAATAATAATAATAATAACAGTTGATAATAAAATAATATAATAATAAAATAAAAACAAAAAAATTTAGATTAGTCCTCATCCTTTGGCTGAGGTGTTGTATAGCCTGATGACAGTGGGAACAAAGGATCTCCTGAAACCTCTCTGTTCTGCAGCACAGTGGGATGAGACGTTTGCTGCAGCTGTAGCTGCTTCTCTGTCCAGCCAGAATGTTGTGGAGAGGATGGTTGGTATTGTACAAGATGGCCTCCATCTTACATTGCATGCATCTCTCCATAACAGTCCTGAGTGAGTCCAGACTCCTGCCAAGAACAGACCCAGCCTTTTTTACCAGCTTGTCAAGTCTCTTTGTGTTCATGTTGGACCTGCTGCCACCCCAGCAGACTGCAGCATAAAAAAGTACACTGTCCACCACTGACTGATAAAACATGTGTAGCATTTCACTGCAGACGTCAAAGGACCTGAGCCTCCTGAGGAAAAAGATCAGTGTGAAATTATTATTATTATTATCATTATCATTATTATCATTCTTATTATCATTCTTCTTCTTCTTCTTCTTCTTCTTCTTATTATTATTATTATTATTATTATTATTATTATTATTATATTTCTACTTTTGTCATTCAGAATTCAGAAACACCCAATTTTTCAAAACATCAAAATCTTTATGTATCTTATGTTCAATAGCATGTTGACTTGACTTGATAAAGTCAAAATAATTGTTGTAAAAAAAATGTGAAATTACAGAAACAGAGTTTATGCTTCACTGCAGTGTGTAGTTGTAGTTCATATCTCAGACTGCGAGTGGCAGCAGAGCACCACAGAGCGTCCAGTCTACCGGAAATCACATAAGAAGTAAATCCCAAACAAACCCGGCACATGTGGACCAATGACTGTATATGAAGTGTAAATACACAACAAATTTAGAATTTGTGGTTCAAAACGGTTCTTTAAAAGTGAACATGGACGACGAACACACGGTAAATACATCTGATACTCTGATGTAGATGGTAATGCTAACTAACGCTTCATCGCTACTGACGAGGTTAGCTAGTCGGGTCAACACCAAACTCGATTCATCAAAATGTCGGTTTTGTATTTTCTTTTCACACCTAAGACACACTAAAAACATTATTTAACACAGTTAACGCAATTCTACGACTGTACAGGGGATAAGTTAACTATATGTTCACTAACTGTTTCCTCAAATGTAAATGTTGTAAGATATCACACCGTGTCTGACTTTAATGTCAATAGTGCGTATTCCAAGTTAACGTTGAAATTTTGTTGAAGTAAATATTCCATTAGTTTACAACTTGGTTGCCGAATTTACCGGAGAGCTTAATCAAAACTTCAGAAATCCTTATAAGCCCATTTGAATGATTATTTGCTATTTCCAAAGAAAAGTAAAAATAAATTGCCTATTTTATAAATGAAGTCTTGACTACAGGTGCTGCTGATATTCCACAACTACAGTCCGTTAGTTGCTTTAGTTTATGGAAGTGGGAGATTCTTAATTGCCGTTGTTCCAGAGTTATTTTTAAGATATTAGTAAAAATATCTTCAGCTTTATAGATATTAATGTAGTTACAAAACCACATAATGAAAATAATTTTGCTCTCTTTTCTTTATGTGATCAAACTGTACCTGTATGTTGTTGTAGATGTTTATTACATTTGTGTGTGTGTGTGTGTGTGTGTGTGTGGGTGTGTGTGTGTGTGTGTGTGTGTGTGGGTGTGTGTGTGTGTGTGTGTGTGTGTGGGTGTGTGTGTGTGTGTGTGTGTGTTTGTAGGCCGGGTTCAGGGAGCCCTGTGCTCAATGCTCTGCAGTGGATTGGGGAATATCAGATGAGGGTCGTTTCTACTGCAGATCCTGCCACAATGTCATTGAGGTAAACAACAAGAGCATCAGCTGATCTTGAGTCTGTTACCTGTGTTCAGTGAACCTAACATCAGTGATCCTGTTCACTGGTTTATTGATCCAGTGAGTATGTTCATGTGAATGGGCAGGAGCTGGTTATTACAGCCAAGACAATCAGAATGAATAAATGAAGTACTTCACAGATGTTGATACTTGCAGGAATATTCACAGCAGCTTCAGAAAGTATTCAGACTCCTTCACTTTATCATCCTATAGATTTAACTGTAAATAGATTAAATAAGTTCGGGCTTTGGCCGAAGCACAGCCAGAGTCATGAATCATGAAGCCACTCAAGCGTTGTCTTGGCTTCAGGTCATTATCGTGCTGAAAGTTGAACTGTAGCCTGTAGTCTCAGGTTGCGTCCACTCATAATGACATAATGCTTCTGTAGTTGTTTTAGTTCTACTCCTCAGGCAAGAGAATCTTTTTCCTCATGCTCTCAGTCCTTTAAATGCTGTTTGGCAAACTTCAGCAAGCTGTCATCAGTCCCTGGTTTCCCTCAGACTGCAGTGTAGCTGCAGGTCAGCAGGTGGCAGCATTGTGTTTCTGTACCAGTTTGAATTCAGTTTTATCAGGTTTCATCTGTGTGAATTTGAACATGTCTTAACATGTCCTCAGAGAACCAGGGAGGTGGTGGACCTGACCTTCACCCCCGGATCCACCAGGGTCTCCACCATCGGCAGAGGAAGCAGAAACAAGAGGCCCGGTCAGTGTTTCTGTCTCAGTCCTCTGACACGGACCTAAAATACAAAGTGGTTTAAAACAATAAATATGTTTTCAGTTCAACCTGCTGGAAGTTCAAAACCGACAGAAAAATAAAAGATAGATTAATTCAAAGTGATTAAACGATGGAAAAATGAAGCAGCAGATTGTTATTCTACATCATCAATTTGTTTCTGAAAGCATCTGTTTGGTTTTTTGAATGAACAGTTTTGGGTGATTTAGGGCCGAAATGAAGATGAGTAAATTAATTGATAAGCTGAATGACAGTTTCTAAAATGTCAGGATTTGTAGTTTTCTGTTTTCTATCACATTAAACTGAACAGTTGAGACATTTGAAGATATCTGCTCGGACTTCTAGAGATTAAACGATCATTAAAATCATTGTGAGTTGAAAGTTTAGTTTTTCCTGCGTTTCAGAGGGAGGTCGTGAGTGGATGGTCTGTGAAGGTTTCCAGTTCATCCTGAGGAACCAGGCCAACGCTCTGCTCAGACTGGGAGTCTCTCCACACTTTAAGGTCTGTTTATGTACCTGCTGTTGAACCTGGAGGGTCAGTCGGAGTGGAAACCCCCCTGCAGAAACAGTCTGATCAGAAACGTGTTGTTTCAGGACCAGGTGTTGTGTCAGCTGTGGAGACTTTTCCTGCAGAAGAGTCGACAGGCCTACACCAGCAACCCAGTGAGGAGCTCCACGTTCAAAGTGGTGAGTTCACAAACACCTGACACAAAACAGCTGAATCTAACAACTGATCAAATCAACAGTTTATGGGTGTTGTGAACTTGTGAAAACTATTTGTCATAGTTTTTAAACATTTGAGAATCAAATGACGATTCTTTATCAAAGAGCAACGTGTTAAACCTTCAGAAAGCTTGTTTAAATGACTCAGAAAAGTCAAGTGAAGTAACTTTTATTCATAGAGCAAATTTAAAAACTATGCAAGTTGATGAAAGTGCTATGCAG